CTCTGCAGAGGCACCCCCAAAGGCCATAGGGAATGCCGGAGTCAGTGTGCCAGACAGCCAGGCTGCCTTAGAACCCGAATGATACCAGTAAACCAAACAGCTCTTCCAGGGGTGAGTTACCAGAAACTTCCTGTCCGAGCTACAGCTGCGGTGTTCCCTCCTATGGTGTTGTGGCCTCGTCTGCTTGCCTGGCCTGGACTTCTAGCAGAAGAGAGTCAGCTCCACCGTCCCCTGGGCCCCTGGCCTCTGGCTGGGCAAGGCAGTGTCTGGGGACCCCACCCCAACTTGCAGCACTTCTTGTGCTTTTGGCCCACTTGGCCTCACCTTCCTGTTGCCTGGTGGCAACAGAGTGAGGGGAGGGGCCTCTTTCTCCTCTGAGACTCTTACACTTGGAGTCATGGCAGCGGTGGATCCTGCTGCGAGGCCTGCCCCCGATGCCAGTGATCTGGGGGGAGGACCATTTTCACACCCAATTTAGAAAAGAGGAACCGGGAACTTCCGAGCTCCCATTAGGTTCCTGAAACTTCCCTCTTTGAGACTTGGTTTCCCGATCTCTAAAGTGGGTGCATATTAGTTACTTCTCAGGGCTCTTGAGGACCTAGAACAAGGTATTATAGTCATTCATTCATTCATCGAACAAATATTGCTAGGCTTGTCTCATGCCAGGTGCAGTGCTCCGTGGGGCACCTTTCCTCCCTTTGCACCTCTCCCCCCGAAGTCTTTCTCAAGCCCTGATACCTGGCACCAGGCGTATTGTAGCTGTGGGCGCAGGGGCACTGTGGGAATGAGGAAGTGTCACGCCCCAGGGAGACTGCTGCTGTGCCAGAGGTGTGTGAAGAGGCCCGCCCTGCCTTGGGAAGCTATCCAGAGCCAGTGAGTACTGGGAGAAGCACTCGAGAGCCCCGGGCAGGGGGCCAGAGATAAGGGTCTGCTCCCAGCCCCTCCTGGGCTGGCTGTGGGCCTCAGCTAGGTTGCCGCCCCGCCCCCCTTCATTTTCCCATCTGATAGCTATGAGTCTGGGCTAAATTCAAGCCAAGGCAGCCTTTCATCATGGGAGGAGCCCAGGCTTCGGGGCGAGGCCGCTTGGGCTCGAATGCTAGCCGTCACGGGTGAGGCTGCGTGGCCCGATGCTGGCTGCTTTGCCTCTGGAAGCCTGCTGCTGTCTGGGGGCTGCGCTTCAAGAACCCCTGTTCTCGAATAACATCCTTCAGAGGTGGAGGCCTCTGCTTTGCTCACCACGGGGCCCCAAACAGGGCAGGCACATAGCGGGTCCTTGGTGAGCGCCTGTGAGTCACTGGGCTCTCGAGTGGTTCGTGTTGGCAGGGGCCGAGGAGGCGGAGGGTCCCCGGGGGTCTGGGGGTGGCGGCGGTGCTTACTGAAGTGGGCAGGGCCTTTGACAACAGGCTAAGGAGCTGGGACTTGTGGTGGCTGAACATGCCCCAGGAGAGGCCCGCATCCTCATGGCCAAAACCGAGAATGCTACCCAAATACAGCAAAAAACATGGCAGCTGTGATTGAGGACTCGAGGAGGAAGGTTGTCCTGGATCCTCCCAGGGGCCCTAAGTGGAATCCCACGTGCCCTGTCGTAAGAGGGAGGCAGGGGGAGACTGGGCTGTGGAGGAGAAGGAGATGGGAGGATGGAGGCGAGAGGTCGGGGGAATGTGACGAAGGGGCCACGAGCCAAGAAGTGCGGGTAGCCTGCAGGAGCTGGAAAAGGCAAGGAAACAGATTCTGCTCCAGAGCCTCCAGAGGGAGCCAGCCCCACCAACGCCTTGGTCTCAGACTTGAGGCCTCCAGAACTGTAAGAGAATGAATTTGTGTGTTTTCAGCCCCCAGGTTCATGGCCATTAGTTACAGCAGCCCCAGGAAACTAACATAGCCTCTGCCTCCTAGAAGCTCAGGTTACTGAGTGGGGGGGAGAGGCTAGGGGCTGGGGATCAGAGAGGAGGCAGGGGAGGCTGTCCAGGGCAGAGGTGATGAGGTGTGGGGTGAAGGAGGCCAGGTGGGGTCAGGAAGGGGCAGACAGAACATCCTGCTGGGGAGGAGGCTGCTGGTTGGCCACAGGTCAGCTGGGCCTCCCTCTCTCCTGAGTCTCCCCTTGGCTGACCATACTACCACCCCAAGGGCAGGCCTGGATCAGTCCCTTGGAATTTTCAGCTCAAGCAGATACCCCAGCCCCTCCAGAAGTGACAAGGTTCTTAGGTCAACGCTCATTTTTGTTCCCAGAAGGACAGCAGGAAGGACATGCTATAGACATCAGGGAAGCCGAGAGCCCTCCTTAATGGAGGGCCGTTCAAGGTCGCAATTGCCCTGGAACCTTGGTGGGAAAACCCACCTCTGTCTGTCCTTGGCCTGCTGCACCGCCACCCCATGTTCCTCACCTCATGTGAGGCCCTCCCGCTGGTTCCCTGTCCCCCTCTGCCAAACCCCTCTGTCCACTGCTTCCCGGGGGTGCTCCACAGCTGCTGTGTGGGGCGCAGGTGGGCTCTGCCTCTTGGCTGGCCTCCATGGGGGGCGTCTCCCCAGCCCCCCCCCCCACAGCGGCTGTGAGGATCAGGGGAGCAGGTGGATGCCCACGCCCTACAGCGTGCCAGGCAGCCACAGGGAAGTCAGGAATGGGGGCTGCTCCTGTGGTTGCTCGGGCCTTGGTGCTGGCTGGCTCACTAGTGTGTGAGTCACTTGGGCCATTTAATGGACTTCTCTGAGCCTCAGTTTTCCCGTCTGTAAAGCGAAGGCTAAACAAACACCTCCTTCACTGGGCCATGCGGAGGATGAAAGGAGGCCTCGAGTCTGAAGGGTCCGCCACCCCCCTGGATGGATGGGTCTTCCTTGTGTTCACTCAAGGCTCAGCTCAGAGGTCTGCTGCCTGGAACGGGTTGCCTGGGGCCTGTGCCGCTGCACCTGGGGCTTAGCGTTTCAGTCCTTGGCACATGCCGTGCGTGCTGAGCCACGGCCAGTGTGCTCCTCAGGTACCCCCCATGCAGCTACGGGTGGCACAGGGTAGATAGGATGCCCTCATAGAATGATCCCTACACAGAAACAATGGCACAGTTGTGAACCTGGCAGCTAGTGGTGCCCAGTGAGTGATAACTCTTAAGTGCTTACTGATGTTTTCCTGGGGATCAGGGTAAGGCAGCCTATTCACGCAGAGGTTACACGGGCAGGAGCGGGAGGAAGTGATGCATGTCACTAGACTGAATCGTGCCAGCACCTTCTCCAGAGTCCACACTGCCCAATTTGCTCTTTGTTTGCTTCATGAACTGCATTAGCTTTGCCCTCGAGGCTGCTTTCTGAATGAGGGGGTGAGGCAGGATGTGGATGGGCATTGTACCCACCAGGGCCAGGTGGGCATTGTGGAGACACACCTGCAGGTGGCTTTGAGGGTGGATTTGAGAAGGACAGTCCAGAGGCTGGGAGGGGGCTGGATGCAGAAGGTTAGCAGCGGGCAGTGGGAAGTCCCTAGACTCAAGTCTTTGGGCAGCAGAACACCCCACACCTGGCTGCTGCAGTGACCAGAGAGGACATGAGGCCCAGGAGTCTAGTTGGGCAGTTGCCCCCACAATGACCCACAGAGACCAGAACCCCAAGAGTGTGGGTCTGCAGTGTCCAGCCCAGCCTTTCTTGAGACCAAACACGTACCCAGAGGGGTCGCAAAGCCTGCTGGCGTCCCTTAACTCACATACACTCAGGCGACTCTGGGAGGTGAGCAGGGCAGGCTGTGTGAGGACAGACCTCATGCTCTGTGGGATGAGGAAACTGAGTCCCGAGAGAGGTGGGGACTTGCTCAGGCCAGAGGGAATGAGGGCAGGGCTGAGATGCTCAGAATGTCATTTCTACATCCCTGGTGCCTAGCCGGGTTCTCACCCTGTGATGGGAAGATGATAAATGTCTGTGAGTGAATGAATGTATGAATGAATGAATGAATGGCTCAGTCACATGGACCAGTATTCTGGGGCGCAAAGGCATGGTCTGAGGAAGAGAAGGAAAGGGACACTCACTGAGCACGTCTGTGGGCCAGGCGTCCTACTTGCGTACTGTCATTCACCCCCGCCCGGCTCACCCAGACCTTCCTCCCCACGTGGGGAGTGGGCATCTCCGTGTCTGTGGTGCAGTTCCCACGGAACACCCTGCATTGACTGTGTCAGAAGGAGACTTAGGTGGACATAAGTCTCCTTCCGATGCTGTTTGTTTTTCAGCTGGGCTACCCCTCGGAGATGAACCCTGGGGCATCCTCTCTCTGAAGTCCCCTGCGCCCTGAACACCCAGCGATTCCCAGCCTATTTCTCCATAGCCAAGATTCTGCCCTGTTCTCTTCTCCTCTCTCAAGGACCAGCACCCCAGGCACCGTCACCCATGTCCCATCTCCTCCTTCTCATCCACATCTTAGGGGGCAGCCAGAGCCCTCCTTCCAAAGCACAGAGCTGCCTGGGTCAGCCCTCCTTGCTTCTAACCCTTCGATCTTCCCCTAAGGCCCATGGTACGCTGTCCAGGGCCCTGCCTTCCCAACTTGGTCAGTCCCCTTTCCCCTGTGATTTGCATGCCCCCAGCGTAAGTGCTGGTGCACAGTAGGTGTTCAGCGGACCAGCTGGATTACTCCTTTCACCCCCAGGCATTGGCACTGGTGCGTGGCCCTGAGGGCTGCCCTGCAGGGTTTAAGTGAGTGCTTACGAAACGACTGCTAGCTAAGTGGTAGGCCTCCAGTGGAGGACTTCTGATGGTCAGGACGCTGCAGCTAGAAAAAAGCACTAGAAAACAAGTTCTGGATTCGGAGACCTCTGCCCTGGTCCCAGTTTTGTGGTTCTGGGCAAGTTGTGGTCCTTTTAAAATAGAGGAAAAAACGTTTCACCTCGAGGGGGCTACGGGCCCTGTGGCACAATGCCACGTTCGCAAATGCTCATGAAGGGTACCAGCACCTGGTGAGCAGTGACCGCCTTAATGGTCACCATTAGTGGGGCCTGTCTCTGTGCCCCTGCCTGGGCACCAATAGCCAGGGAAGTTACCTGTCTGTGGTTCCACGAGGTGCCGTGACCTGTTTCCCACTCCACACCTGGAGCTTCAGGGGCTTCTCTTCCTGCTGCCTGGGTTCTTGGCTTTGAGTCCTGGAGAGTCGAGAGCTGCCAGACCTCAGAGAAGGGTCATGGGCGTTGCGGCTGGCAGACCTGCAGCGCAGGAGCTGCTGGTACGCCGTGCGGAAGTCTCTGTTCAGAGCAGCATACAGGATGGGGTTCAGGGCCGAGTTGGCGTAGCCCAGCCACAGAACCACGGCTTCGAAGACCTTGTCGATGGCATCGTCCCCTACAAGCCCCCGGTAGACAAAGACAGTGAAGTAGGGGAACCAGCAGATGATGAAGGCCCCCATCACAGCAGCCAGCGTCACGGTGGCTTTGTGCTCCCTGATGGTGGCTGCCTTCCAGGAGCTGATCTGCTGGATCCTCTTGGCCTGATCCCGGGCGATCTTGAAGATGCGGCAGTAGGTGACACACATGACCACCAGAGGCACGTAGAAGGTGACCAGCCCATCCACCAAGCCGTACACCAAGTTGACCTGGACTTTGCAGGACAGAAGGGTGGAATTGAACCCGCCGGTCTTGTTTCTGCTGTTCCACTCTAGGTGGATAGGCAGGAAGGACAAGGTGATGGAGATGGCCCAGATTAACACGAGGGAGACGCCGACCCGGGCCGGGGTGACCAGCACAGGGTAGCGCAGGGGGTCTGTGATGGCATAGTACCGGTCAAGGCTAATCATGAAGAGGTTGAGGATGGAGGCCGTGCAGAGCATCACGTCCAGGCTGGTGTAGATATTGCAGAAGACCTTGCCGAAGTTCCACCTGCAGGACAGCTGGTAAATGGCCGAGAAGGGCAGCACCAGGAGGCCGAGGAGCAGGTCGGTGACAGCCAAGGACACGATGAAGCAGTTGGTCAGACTGCGGAGCCGGCGGTTCAGACCCACGGCCAGGCAGACAACCACATTGCCGGCGATGGTGACGAGAATGAGGACAGTGAGGGCCACGCTAACAGTGATCCTGAACGCAGTAGAGTCTAGACAAGAGGAAGAGGTCGCGTTGCTGGGCTCCATCCTGGGACCCCGCAGCTCCTTCCTCTGCCCACAGCCCCTGGCTGCTTCTCTCCACACAACCCAGGGTGTCAGTTATGTCAACCGCGGGGCGCCAGGCCGCCCAGTGAGCCGAAAGGAAGTGTCCAAGTGTGGAGAGGCTCCAATGAGCAGCTCGGGGCTGCCCTTCTACAGATGAATACAGCAGTCTCCTAGGAGGTGCTAGGCATGAGTGTGGCCGGAGAAGAGGCCAAGTTGGTGGTTGAAACTCCAGTCCTCCGATCGCCCCCTGCAGAACTGGCTGCCTCGTGGGACCGGAGCGGCTCTCCTCTCTCTGGGTCTGGCATCGAGACCCGGGCACTGGAGCATTTGTCTGGCAGTGGCTTTGGTTTTACGCGGGAGGGGTCGTGCGGAGTTGTGGCTGCATCCGTCTTCATAGCTGACGGCTGCTACCATCCATGTGACAGGGGTCCAGGCCCGCTGCCCCCGCCCCTTGGGAACACTGGAGAGCAGGAGCTGAAACACAAAGGTTGAGTGTTGAGCACCTTGAAACCAGACCAAGAGAGTGACCTGATTCATGATGATTCGCTCTAGACCTTGACCTCCCTGCGCGGTACCAGGAGGCCCGTGTAAATGTCTCTTCTTAGGAGGCAGTGTGGCAATCAGGGTATGCAGGGGGGTAGGAGGGGAGTCGGGATACAATGGGGTTGACCGTGCGGTCCCTGCTTGAGGTGTGGTTGGAGGGACTGTTTGTACTGGAGAAAGAAAGATCTGGACAGAGGCTCCAGGCTCCACGAGGCAGGCTGCATCTGACCGTTTAGTGCTGGGTCCCCACGGGCAGGCGTTAAGACTCTGATGGATAAATCATAAAAGTGAATGAATAAATAAACAAATGTGATGAATTTACTCTGAGACAGTGCCAAGAACAGTCATGATACAAAATGCCGTCGTACCCTAGATTGAGGGCCGACGCACTGTTGCAGGAAAATGCTTTCTGCTCTGTGTCCCACGGGGTCTCCGCTGCAGGGACTCAGCTCTGGCACCCTGGAGGGAAGGGCTGTCACCTCCACAGCTGGGCACGTGAGCGAGCCGACCTGTGCTCCAAGGAGACTTGACTGCGGGCAGTGACCTTTGAATTTCACATGATTTTCACATGTCACAAAATACTTTTCTTTCTGTTTTCTCCAACTCCATACAACTATTTCCAAACTATTGAAAAACATAAAAGCCATTCTTAGTTCACGGGCAGCACAGACCCAGGCAGAGGGCCGGGTTTACTGCCGTCTAAGTTGGCTGACCGCACCCCAAATGACCCCTGCTCTACCCACCTCTCTAAACCTTTTCCTCTTTGGCAACACACGTGGTCCCACATCTAGGTCGGCTGTCACAGGGCTCACGAAATCTTTCAAATGGCTGTGTAACCGGGGCCGGCTGCAGTTTATCACCCTCCTATCATGAGTACCTGGGTGGTTTCCAATCCCTTCCTCCCTGTCTTCCCATCTGGTCCCACTGCAAACATCACTGCAATATAGTGGTTGCACCCACAATGCCTCTTGGTTACATCTCAGAGACCACCTCCTGGTGGTGATATCCCACGACCCCAGTGGGCACAAAACATGCTTAAGGCCCTGCTTGACTGCCGGGCCCTTCCGTGGGAGCGCTTCCTGATTTTCCCCAGCGCCGACGGTGCCCTGGGGTCTGGGAGTGCGCAGAAGTCCGGTTGACAGCAGAACCTCTCGGGAGCGATCCTACCTCCATGTGACGTCATTTAAGCCTCTCCCAGGCTCTCGCTTGCGGTGGTCCTGCTCCCTCAATGTGAGAAGCATCATTTGATCATAACCACCGTCTTGGTGTAGGGATCACGGCTCCCGGGTACCTTCTGCTGCTCCAGCCGGCTCCGCCACTTGGCCTCACCAACCGCGCCTCTGGGTGTTATTTTTAGAAGATCTTTTCATTACATAAAAAGCCCAGACAGCATGGCTCTCACCACCACACTCAACTCTGGGGACGTAGCAGCAAGGGTAATTTTTTTTGAGGATCCTTATTTCTGATCAAAATATTCTCTGAGATTCCTTAACAGTGCGGTATAGGTATTTTGGCATTGGCCAACATTTTAGTTAATGTTTGGGGTTTTTTTAAATGGAATGAACCGGTGTCATATATAATTAGAAATTCATTCCTCCCTTTTCTCCCTCACTGCCTGCCTGCTTCCTCCTTCCTCCTTCCTCCCCCTCCGCTGTTCTATTCAGCAAATACTTTTCAGAACCTCCAATGTGCCAAATGCTGGTGGCACAGTGGTGACCCAAATAGCAGCGGTTCCATTTTCACACGAGAACCACATCTGTGGCGTTTCTGTTCTGCAGCTCAGGTACCAGAAGTTGCTGGTGACCGTTTGCATGGAGCACTGTCCATCCCAAACCCCGTAGATTGAATGAATGAATGACTGCCACAGAGGGCCGTGGCACCCACATCACCGTCACTACTGTCACCATCATAGCCAACGTAAAAAACACTTCCTCGACTTTCCTTTCAAACCTGCAAAGCAATGACATGCTTATCGCAGTAAACCACGTGTCCTGAGGTGTACAGGAAGGGCCAACTATTTGGGCGTCGCACACCCAAGCTCTCATACCCAGGAGGTGTTGTCTGCTGCCGACTGTTGGGTGTGATGGGTCTCTTCTCTCTCTGTACCTCTGTGTGGACACAGGCACACACAGGACACTGTTTCGTGTACACTGTACACAGTACTTAGCGGCTTTCCTAACCTCTTTAAAAATTATCATCAGCCCTGGCTGGGGTAGCTCAGTGGATTGAGCTCAGGCTGCAAACCAAGGGGTCACCGGTTTCATTCCCAGTCAGGGCACACGCCTGGGTTGCAGGCCAGGTCCCTGGTACAGGACGCACGAGAGGCAACCACACATTGATGATCCTCTCCCTCTCATTCTCCTCTTCACCTCTCTCTAAAAATGAATACATAAAATCTTTTTAAAAAATTACCATCATACAATGGACGCCCTTCCAGGTCATTCAGATCCCAGGTGTCCTCCTGGGAAACTAGACTCTGGCCACTGCTGGGCGAGGATGGAAAGAGAGAGACACATGATGGACACTGGGTGTCCGTCAGCAGGAGGCTGGTTCGGTGAATCATGGCACAGCTGTCCCGGAGGACAGCCCTGGGCAAGGTGATGTCACGCACCTAAGTCAAATACCACGTCACCCTCACAACGGGGAAATCGCTGCTCTAGGCAACAGCTGAGGGGAGTGAGGCCAAGTGACAGGCCCTTGTAATGGCCGGAGAGCCTGCATTCAGACCCAGCTCTCACTGCCACAGGCCCTGTGCTTGGGGTGGACTCCAGTCCGTCCTCCCAGCTCGATTTGTCCCCTGACTTTGCCATCCGGGCGGCCGGGCCTCGAACGCAGCACTTCTCACTCCTGCCCTCGCTGTCTCCTTCCCCTGCAACGCCCCGTTCATTTCATCGCCCGCCTTTCGAGGCCCAGCTCCAATGCCTCCGCCTTCCTGGGTGCTTGGAGGCAGGACCACTGGCCCCCGCTGCACTTGGTACCAAGTTATCCCATCGGCACCTGCTGCCTTGTGTCATTAACGTGGCCCTGTGTCGGCCCTCGGGCAGGGCCTGAATCTCGGCCACCCATCTCCACGCCCCATCCACCTGTCCGTCCATCCGTCCATCTGTCTGAACATCCGTCCGCGCAGAATTTCCTGTGGGTTACATAACTGGAGTGTGCATGTGTGTGGGTGTGTGGGCCTGTGGGTATAGTCGCCTCGGGAGCTGGGGAGTGCTCACCTGGGATGCTGTGGGTCTGGTTAGTACGTCTAACTGGGTGTGAGAAAACAGGCCCATCTCTCCCAACGTTGTACACAGAAAATTTTCAAATGCACGCACAAAAAGTTGAAAAAAACAATAAAATGGACATTAGATCCTGTCCGACTGTCCGTGCAGATTCAGTAATTATGTGTTCTGTGGGGGTGGGGCGGGGAGAGAGAGAAATGTATGAAATTCAGCACAGCAGGGGTCAGCACCGTGCTGCCCCCGCCACAAAGGCTGACGACAGGGGTGGCAGGTGTGCCTGCTGCACTGCTTCCTCTTACGTCTCCTCACCTTTGCCTTAATGACCTTCGAAAAGGCATTTTCTGGAGAATTTTCTGCCCCCCGGCGAGGCGTCTGACATTTACCGATAGTCATCACCCAGCAAATGCGGCAATAACATGGGGCCTTGGCTGACTCAGCATCTACTTTGTTCCGTGGCTCTCAGAGACTGCACTGGCCACTTAGCCCTCGAGGGCCGCCACAGCTGAGTGTGTTAAATGTGCTGGATGCACATGCAGATGTGTGTGAACCCCCCCGTGCGGAGAGTCTGCTCTGACCACTTTGCCGCAGGCGTCTCTGTGTGTAGATCTCGGCGTGGCATTTAAGGCTCTCGGTGACCTGGCTCTGTCTCAGTCTTTAGCCTTGGCTCCTGCCTGCTGTGTGCCCTTTAGCATCTTAGAACCACACCTTGAGGAACACAGCTCTGGTGGCATTTAATTCCTCCTGGTTTAGACAGGCCCAGGCCCATTCTGATTCTGTGCTTTTGCACATGCTGTTCCCACTGCCTAGAATGCCCTTCCATGCCTGGTGAGCTCTCACTATTCCTCAAAGACCTGGCCTCTCCTGTCACCTCCTCCAGGAAGTCTTCCAGAGGTTCTTGCTGCATCCTCTCTCACTTCCACCTGCACCTCTGACAGAGGCTTGTGCTATTTGGGGTGCACAGGAAGGAGGGATTTCTTAACCCCACTGGATAGAATTTTGAGTCTTCAGGGCCCCAGAAAAACTCTCCTAGTGGAGTTTTTGGTGATTCACCATCAGAATGTGTCTCCCCAGGAAGTGAGTTGCAGCGGGTGGTGTCCAGGATACCATTTCCCTCCTGGATCCTACCATCGAACAGCAACAAAAATTGGGGCTGGGAGGGTCAAGGGTCACCCACCATCGGAGGTGTCAGAGGCAAACCCAGGTCCACCTGATGCCCCAACCGCCCCCTCTCACTGCTTCCCATGAAATCCCAGACGAAATGCCGCTGGTGGGACGTTTCGATTGCCAGCTACAGGGGCGAGGCCATCCAGAAAAGAAGGGGTCTGGGGGCTGGCGTCTCCTCCCCATCAAATTCAGTGAACATGGAGTCAAGCACTTTCTTTTTCTTTCTCACTGGGCAGTGAAAGGAAGCCCCCTTTCTGGTGTTAGTACGTGAGCCCAGGCACAGTCCTCAGGGAACTGGCAATCGTTCAAGCAGCCAGCCTTTCGGAGGGATCAGTTAAGGCACCTTTGATCCCTTTGGGGTTTCTGACTCGGCCTGGAAGATGAATCTGATTCTTCTAGGCAATAACTCACAGTAGAAAAAGGAAACAATATTCATCAGGCAAACCATGCCTGAGGCAACTCTGGGCGGTTGTGAGAAGGAAGGGTTTGGACCCAGATTCTGCAAAAATTGGCACTCAGACAAGCTAGGGGAGCCCCGGGGGC